TGAGCGAATATTAATGCCGTCTTGGCTGCTACAAGAATCCTGCTGTTTATCGACTTGCGGCCCCGACTGCTTTTATCCCGGCCACCCGGCCGCGACATGTATTCGCAATGCCCCGGCACCCCATAAAGCTAATGAGTCATGGGTTCATAGGTCTTGGCAACAGGTGCGCGAACGCCAACCAATATACACCGCGGCTAACGGCGTGTGTGTGCGTGCGACCCCTGCATGTGCTAAAAATGGAGCGAGACCTACATTTTATAAAAAGCGTGTCTCTAAACCCCTTTAACTCATCGTTATCAGTTTTTAGGATCGTTAAAATCATATTCAACCCCGAAATCACGATTTCAAAAATCTGTCTTAGAAAGCTCGACTGTAACTCTATAACAATTGCGAAAATAAACTTAGGTTTCCAATATTAATAACCGCACCGATTGCAAGATATTATTGACCTTCAAACTTCCAGGAGGCTTACAGTGTAATGTTACCGCAACACTTGTACTAATATTATACAATAGTTGTGTACAATTATTTTCAAGGTGTCTATACTATTTTCGTTCAACAAAACTCCCGGTTATTTCCAGGTTTTTTTCCCATCAAATTTAAATTTATTTGATTTCGAACATACACGGAGAAAAATATAAAGTAACTTTTACTACTTTTATAGTAAAAAATTTCCGGTAAAGCATTTCTGCTAATTTTTACTACTTTTAGAGTAAATTTCGCTACGTTCGAAGTAAATATTTGTAAAAATTAGTGAAATTTATTTCGAAAGTAGCAAAATTTACTCTAAAAGTAGTAAAAATTACCAGAAATGCTTTACCGGAAATTTTTTACTATAAAAGTAGTAAAAGTTACTTTATATTTTTCTCCGTGTAAATAAATCTACAAATAGCTTCAAAAATTTTTATTAGAGTTTTTATAAATAATTAAATTCTTTTGACAAGTTAATCAAGTTTCTTTAAATTTTTTGAAAATAATGTTTTTTTTAATAATTTTAATTAATAATTTGAAAATTAATTGAATTAAACAAAGAATTTTTTCGAATTTTTAAAATAATTTTGTCTGTTTATAATAATTGAAAATTTGATTAATTCAATTTTATATAAAATGTAATTGATACTAATTAAATTCCTGGAAAGAATTTTACTATATATATAAAAGTAATTGAATTGTTTTTTAGAATTCTAGGTAATTTATGAAAATAATTAAATTCTTGTGAAGAATTTTTTTTTTAAATAATATTCAGAAAAATTTTAATCTGAAGAATTTTGCTATTTATGGAAATAATTGATTTCTTGAGAAGAATTTTTTTTAATAATTTTAATAATTTTTGAAAAAGTTCTTTGAGAATTTTCAAATTCATTAGTTTACATTTCAATTTTACAAAGTTTCAATTATTCGTAAATTTTGCAATTAAATATATATATAGGAAAATAAAAACTTTAAATAATTACAAAAAAATTAGCAATTAAAATTTCTTAAAAAAATTAGTTTCACAAAATTGTTTGTTCAAAATATAAAAAATTCAGATTTGAAACATTTTCAAAACTCAATTATTCCTAAAAATCCAATTATCTTGAAACAACAGAATTGAAAAATTTCAAAAATCTTTCTTTTAGAATTTTCAAAAAAAAACTTTGCGAAAATTCAATGTTATTAAAAAATTTTAAGTGTGTATCTTTTTTAAAATTAAAATACTTTAAAAATATGATTTGTTAAAAAGTTTTTAATGAAATTCTTTAACAAATTTAATTATTTTCAGTTGAATTTCACAAAATTTCCATTCATTCGATAATTTAAAAAAAATGTATTTACATACTATATATTTGAATCAATGTCTGATTTTTTACTATCAAATTAAATATTTTTAACTAATTCAAATTTAGAGAACAGTATAAAAAATACCTATAGAAAATTGAAATAAAAAGCAATTTTTAAAGAACAAATTAAAATAATAAAACTTTTTTTAATTTAGTGAAAAAATTCCCGGTTTGGTATAAAATTCCTGGTTTATTCCCGGTCGAATTAAATTCCCGGCTATTTTCCGGTTAGTAGTCACCCTGCTAATTTCCCCACGTGAAACGATTCTTCGGAAACCGCTCTACGATAATTCCGTACGGAATTTCCGTAGAATCGTTTCATGTGGGTCATAACTATATCGTACAAGTATAATTCTTTAGTAAATAGTAAAAAGTAGTGAATAGTAAGAATAGTAAAAAATAGTAAATAGTAAGAATAGTAAAAAGTAATAAGAATAGTAAAAAATAGTAAGAATAGTAAAAGGTAGTAAGAATAGTAAAATGTAATAAATTTTATAAATAATAAGAATAGTAAATAGTAGTAAATATTAAAAACAGTAAAAAAAAGTAAAAATAGTTAAAAAGAGAATAGTATTAAAAAAGCATATATTAAAAAGAAGAGAGAGAGATTCTCCACTGGCACGCGTGTGATTCACGCGTCTCTGGCAAAAGCGACGACGACGCTCTAAATAAATTCGTGTGCGAGGTAGAGGCCAGACTATAGCAGGTAGTTAGCTTCATCCCCGCAAGCAATCGGCTGTGACGATCGATGTCCGGTTCACCACGCGCCGTTCTAAAATGCTAAAGCAGTGCAACCTCCATAACCGGCCACCACGAATGCTCACAGCCAAGTGACGTCTCCTTTCCCCACTTTAATTCTTTAAGGCCGTCGCCGCGGCACGCTCGAACATGCAAGCAAAAGAGAAAACGGTTGGTGGAGGGGGAGGTGGGGGGACACTTCTCAGCCAATCCTAACTCCCCAGTCGTACGCCGCAACGAATCGACAATCTTTCATTGGATACCTTCAAAAATCCCCAAACCCCCACCCAAAATATTCTCTCCCACCTCTCTCACTACCTGACACAGTCTTGTGCACACTGCACCCACAGTCACTGTCCCTATCCACTTGTGTCTTGTGTGCACCCTTTTTTTTGTCGCCTTCTCTTTTTGAGGAGTTCTGACTGTTCTTTATCAAACTTTCTGTACTTTTATTTGTCATTCTTCGTTTTTAATTCTTGTGTCTTTCTAATTGCTTGCTTTCTTTCTTTATTTCTTTCCTTCCTTCTTTCTTTCTTTTTTTCTTTCTAAGACGTTAACTAGCTTTTCAGCCTTTGTTAGGTATTTAGCGTTAACTAGCTTTTCAAGCCTTTGCTAGCTTTTTAGCGTTAACTAGCCTTTAAGCCTTTGCTAGGTATTTAGCGTTAACTAGCTTTTTAAGTCTTTGCTAGCTATTCAGCGTCTGCTAGTTATTCAGCGTCAGCTAGCTAGTTGGCCCCTCCAAGTTATTTAGCGTCAGCTAGCTAAATAGCGTTAGCCAGAAAATTTTTACCTTTTACACTTACAGGCGCATAAAATTATTTTAAGCACTAAAAGTACAAAATAAATTTCCATTCTCTCCAAACAAATTATTCAAAAATTTAACGAAACAGCATCGAGCGAGGTATCGAGCAATAAATTACGCGAATGATAATTATTCTCTAGATAAAAGGTGAATAATACAAAAATTATAATATGAAATTGTGAATATGTCGTGAGTTGAGTTAATATATCGCACGCGCGCAAAACATCAACCGAGAAAAAAAAGAGAGATAACGAGAGAGAGAGAGAGAGGTATTGACAAGTTTGACCTTTGTTCAGTGCCAAGCGGAGCAAACGAAGACGATCGCCTACACACGTAGTGCGAAACGAATGCCTACATAGAGAGAATAACTTGCTCGCATAGCGGAGAACGATTTCGATAGGCGTGGGGGTGGAAATCAGGCACGTGCCAGAATAGCGAGCATGCGTGCGTCAGTCAGCTTGGTGGCACTTGGTTATTTTTCAAATGTACTACATGCACAGACTTGTGACGTCTGCGTGATGCCAAGTGTCAGACATTCTATATCATTAATGGCGCCTGTTTTCTGCTGATAAAAAAACGACTTATTAATCGTCACGCTATATAGTGATGATGATGATGAAAAAAAGGAGAGGAAAAAAAAAATAATTTCATCGCCTCTTAGAAGACCGATAAGCACTTTTATTTCATCCGTTGATAAAGACATCTATCTTTTGTTATCTCTTTCTCACTCTCTATTATCTTCACTGTATTATGTCGCAATTCTCTTTTTTTGTAACTGTATTTATTAATTTTCGTTTGATAATTTTTTTCCTCGTTTACTTTCCTCTTCTTTTATCTTTACTCCTTCCTAACATGTCTTGCTTCTTCCCATGGTTCCCATTCTTCCATTTCCACGCGGTTAACAATAGAATTAGTAATAGAAATTGATATAGAAATAGAAATATTGTAACAGAAGTAGAAACAGAATTAAATGTAATTATAGAAGTAGAAAGAGATGTAAGTCATAGAAATAGTAATAGAAACTAATATTAATAGAAATAGTGATAGAAAAAGTATTAGCTGGACAGTACCAACAACAACAATAATAATAAAAGATTTTCCACCCACAAAAACGGAATTAAACATTGAAAAATTCATATAAGGAAGAAATTGAATAGAATACCAAAATAGGAGACACCCATATGAAAAGAGAATGAAAAAGAAGGCTTAGAAGTGCGAGGAATGGAATGGGAAAATTCTAATTGACGAAGCGTGCGTCAATGAGCGTCCACACTTGGCGATACATTTCAAAGAACGACACGGCGGTGAAGGCTTCCTGACCCCAGAGAGCACGGTTAATAGCTGGGCCCCACTCTCCACTTGAGAATCTGCGGGTGTACGAGGAAGGGGTCTTTGGGGGTCCGTGCGGCTGCAGGCCAACGCATCGCCAAGGCACACAGAGTGGGGGGGAGCGGCGGCTAAAGAATCATCATTGTGGTGGGGGGCGCAGACTCAGCAAAGGGCCTTAAAGGCAACCGAGTTTTGTCCGGTTATTGGAATTTTCACGAGTGGGGGTAAAACCGTCACGCGCTTTCCCCTACCCATGAGAATTCTTCCATCTCCTCCCCACTCCTACCTTGGACTTGAAGCATTCCATCGCTTGCCACGTTCTCCGCACAGTGAGGCGAACAGAAAACGTTCAGCGCTCGATTCGAATCAGTCGAGCTCTGACGCGCCTTGTGAGAGGTCGATCAAAAAAAAAAATTATCCCGTGCAAAGGAATTGTGCTTAGTGTTTCTTCTCTAAGTCCTTCTGGATTTTTTCGTCTTCTTTTGGAAAAAAGAAATCATACAGTGATTTATTTGAAAACTAACAAGTGCTACAATTTTTGAGAAAACAGTGCAACTTGACAATTATTGATTGGATTACATTTTTTTTGGTTCTCTTTTTGGTGTGAAGTGATTATTTTCGATTGAGAAAAATTATTTTATTATTGAGAATGGTGACCGGAGTTGGTGCCAATATGCCGACCGGGGGTGTTACTGTTGGTGCAACCCCACCGGCGCAACACGTGCCCCAGGAAGCGGGACAACCACCTGCACAAACCACCACCAACTCTTCGCCCACTACGACCACTACTCCGAGAAGATCGGGTGAAAATCGACGGGTTAGTTTCATTTTCCGATCTACTGTAAATTTTATTTTTGTTGGTGTTACAATTTTGCAAAAAAGAAATTTTTCATTTTAGTCACAAGTGTTAACTGAAAAAAGCTAAATTAGCTGATTCAAAAATTGCCATCTTCTTGACTGCTAATATTTTTCTTATTCTTTCTTCAATAGAAGTCTTTTAATCCAAAGTCAGAATTTTTGAAAATCTCTGTAAATTCCTTGATCTGTAAACTATGACTTAGTACAGATGGTAACTTCTGTAAAGACAGGTACAAGAATTTTTGGATTCTGTTAAAAGAAGTTTGAAGAAACTAAGGAGACATTTCTTAACTTGCATTATTTACCAAAGAACAAATTTTAGTAGTGATTTTAAAATAAATTCGCAACTTTTAGGTTTGAAAATCCGTTCGCTTTTTTCCAACTAGTGTCAGGTTTTAAACATCATTGACTAAAAAATGGGTTATTTTAGTAAAGATCCTAAAGAAAAACTAAGTTTTTTAAAAAATTTAAGAAAGAAGAATAAGATTAAAAGAGCAATTTTTGAAAGTAACTGTTGTTCTTAAATAGTTTGGAAAAGTTTTTCAAAAGTTCAGACTTGTAATTTTAGATGATTGTAATATTTGTAAAAATTGTAACATCTTTAAAAAATTTAACTCTTCGGTAATTCAAATCCAATTCAATTCAACTTTTCAGAAATACAACTCAAATTCAATTCGGTTTTTCAGAATTTAAATTTAAATTTCAATTCACCTTTTTGGAAATTCAGTTCAAGTTCAATTAATTTTTTCAGATTCAGTTTTTCAGAAATTGGATTGAATTTTTCAGATTCAATTCAATTGACGAAAAATTGTAGGATTAAATTCAGTAAAGGATAGGATTTTTGAAAATAACGAAATATTTTGACATTTTAAAATGAGATGAAGATTTATTGTTTGATTCGAAGGGGACAAAAGTTTTAATGGTTCGTTTTTTTTTCTGATTACAGAGTAACAAGCCGATCATGGAAAAGAGACGTCGTGCCCGCATCAACAATTGTCTGAATGACTTGAAAACTCTCATCCTCGATGCAATGAAGAAAGACGTAAGTACCTTTATTCAGTCTATTTCAACTGCGCTGATTCTGATTTCCTTTCACGACTTCAATTATATTGACATTCTCTTCTTTTAACACATCTCCACAGTATTCCAAATCGTCAATGATATTATAATACTTTTCTCTCCCTGTAAAGTCATTTTCTTCTTTTTAGAACCAAAAACAAACTAGGTTCTGAAAAATTAAGCTTTTGAAACTAGTTTCAGAACAATAAAGTTTTTTTGGAAACTAGTTCTTTGGTTCTTAATTTAAATTAAGTTCTGTTTGAAACTAGTTTCAGAACAATAAAGTATTTTTTGGAAACTAGTTGTTTGGTTCTTTTTGGGTACCTTTTTGGGTCCCTATTTTGAAGTGTTTCTTTTTCGAAAAAAAGCAAGGTGCCTAACGAACGATTTTTCTTCTCTGCTTACAGCCAGCCAGACATTCGAAATTGGAAAAAGCTGACATTCTCGAAATGACAGTGAAGCACTTGGAGACTCTCCAGAGGCAACAGGTAGCATTAGCGGCAGCGACGGATCCAAACGTTTTGAACAAATTTCGCGCCGGTTTCACGGAATGCGCCGGAGAAGTTGGCAGATTTCCTGGACTCGAAGCATCAGTGAAGAGACGTTTGATGGCACATTTGGCCTCGTGCCTTGGACCAGTCGACAATAATGGAACAGTGGTGCAAACAACAACCACAACGACAACAACATCCCAACAAGTCCAAGCGGCGCCACCAACAGCCCAACTTCAACTTCACATCCTCCCACAAGTTGACGCACCGCCAAGAATTCAAGTCCAACAATCAAATGGAATTGTATTCGCCAATACGAATAGTCTTCAAGTGGTGCCAACGCGACTGCCAAATGGCGACATTGCCCTCGTATTACCAGCCGGAGCAAAAGCCACCCCCGTAACATCGCCAGCCACCTCACCAGCGCCAAGTTCACCAATTATGCCCACGCTAATTCCCATTCCCCAAAGGACGGCGAGCACAGCCTCGGCATCATCATCCACCTCGTCAACAAGTTCCACCTCAACCTCAGCGGCGAGTCCAGTCGCCTTCGAGGCACCACCTTCCAATTTCATGGCAAGGTCACCCCAATACACCACCAGTCATCGAGACGTCGCCACCTCACCAGCCAATGGCTACACCAGTGATCCTGAATTCGACCCACGAGTCTACAGTCCACCACTCCAAAAACCCCTCGCTCTCGTCATGAGGAAAAGTGTTATGCCCGAAATCGAAGACAAACCCTGGAGACCGTGGTAAAGAGTTAGTGCTAAAAAAAACTTCATTCCATAAAAAAAACTGTTACCACAATTTTCGTCTTTCCGAAATATTGCCCTTTCCTTAAATTCACCCCCATACGAGAACTCATTCGCACCGGCCAGTTGCTTTTTCGGAAACAGTGCCTTGTAAATAAATCTTCCTCCAAAACGAAGATAATTGTGTAAATTACGTCTTTGTTCTCAGTGATATTTTCCTCTACTTAATTTTAGTAAACACATCCCCTCTCTCTCTCTCTCTCTCTGCTTTTGAGAGCAACTAATGCTTTTGAAAGCAAAAAGCATTAGCTTTTTTTATATGTAAAAAAATAAATACCTAGCTTTTTTTTCGTTTCCAAAAAAAAGAGAGTGATGCTGATTGTCATGTAAATAATTTCTTATTTGTTTTTAAGTGCCTTACGCAACAATAATCACAGATGTCTTCCATTCTGTTAATTTTTTTATTTTTTAAAAAAAAGAAGAAAAATAATATTTTTCGTTAAATCCAAAATACGTTTGTACAGTTGACTTCGATTGAAAAATGTCGGTGTCAAATTTTTATATTAGATGTTAAGTAAATAAATATTGATGATTAAAAAAAAAGGTAAAATAATAAAAAGATGTATAAATGTGATGTCTGCAGAGATATGGTATGTTCTATTTATATTTATGAGTGCAACGAATAAAAATTTATTATTCATCTATTGTCAAAAATAGAAAAAAACCACGCTTATTATGAGATAGGAGAATCAAATAAATATTGATCTCTTTATTAAAATTACATAATGATCTACTTCATTTTTCTCACCTTTCCACTAGTTTTAAGACTCAATTAGTAAAATCTTACTTTATACTTAATTTTTTGAGTATAAATATTGATAAAATAAAAAAAATAATAAGAAATAAAATATTAAATAAGTAAATATAAAACAATAAAATAAAAGGAAATAAAATATAAAAAAATAAAATATTAAATAAATTTATAATCAATTTATTTATTTTCTTACTTTACGAAATTAAATCGAATCTATTTACATAATATAAAAATTAAAAACTCTGCTTTCAAAAGTAAAAAGCTAGTAAGTTACATTTGCCGTACGGCAAAAATGTGACTTACTAGGTTTTTACTTTTGACAGCAGAACTTCAGTTCTAAAAAATTTATTTCTTGATTAAAAAAAATGAAATAAAAACTTACAATAAAAAAATTGATTGTAAGAATTCTTGAAGACAAAAATAAGTTTTAAAAAATATATAGGTAAAATAATAAACAATATAATTTAATAAATAAAAAAAACTACTTTTGAAAGCAGAGCTCAGTTTTAAAATATTTATTTCTTGAGTAAAAAAAAATGAAATAAAAACTTACAATAAAAAAATTATTTGTAAAGATTCTTGAAGACAAAAATAAATTTAAAAAAATATATAAGTAAAACAATAAATAATAAAATGTAATAACTAAAAAAAACAACTCAGAAAAATATTCTTTGGCAAAAAAAATTCGATTCATTCATTCATTACTCCTTTAAAAAATTCTTCAACTGAGAATTCACTTTTCTTTTTCTTCTGCTCTATTTTTTTCCAACAAGAAACCTCAAAAGAAAAAAAGTAATATTTCTCATTCTCATAATATATAAATGGTGAGAATTGAATCGTGGGATTTTGATTCAAGTTTAAAAGTTTTTTTTTTTTTTTATTGTACGAATGATTCAAAGTAATATAAGTAGTTTCCGGATGGATGATTTTGTGGTTGTTGTCTATCCTGTCTAAACCTGTCAAGTCGTGAACGAACATTTTCGACGATTTTTGCCCAAGTTTCAACAAAGTGGTGTCATCTCGAGGCAGATTTCGGCAACTAAAGGACTCCAATGGACCGGTTTTTGTGTGCAAAAACGAATTGAAGGAGGACCCTTTCCTTTCCGCTATATAGGGCCTTATTCGACTTTCAGTGAAGTGCTGCCATCCTACGGAGCAGCACTCAACCCTCAAATGGGACTTGAGGCCCTTCTGCACTGCAGTCCAGAGAATTTGTACATAAAACAGAAATTTACAGATTTTGATTTTATTTTCTAATATTTATTTGAATTTTATTTGAAAAAAAGGTTTTTTTTGTGAAAAAGAAATAATTTAAGGATTGTGAATATTGTGGCTTATAAAAATTGGTTGAATTACATTCAATTGTAATTGAATGTAATTATAATTGGTTAAAAAAATACATAGAGTAATTAATAATTGGTTTCAATTATAATTACTTTCAAAAAAAATTATAATTCCAATTGGTTAGAAATACAAATCACTGCAATTTCAGTTGGCTGAAATTGATTGCAATTACAATCGATTAGAATTACAATTGGTTGCAGTTACAATTGATTAGAATTACAATTGGTTGCAGTTACAATTGATTTCAATTTAAGTTGGTTGGAGTGAAAATTATTGAAATTACAATTGGTTACAATCACAAACAATTGCAATTATGTAGTTGGTTGCAATTCCCACTTATTACAAATACAATTAGCTGTATCTAGAATTTACTACAATTACAACCTATTTCAATTATTTTTGTTTGCAATTCCAAATTATTGCAAATATAATTGATTGTATTTACAATTTACTACAATTGCAACCGATTGCAATTATTTTTGTTTGCAATTACAATCGATTTCAATTACTTTTGTTTGCAATTACAATCTATGTCAATTACTTTTGTTTACAATTACAATCGATGTCAATTACTTTTGTTTGCAATTACAATCGATGTCAATTGTCTTTGTTTGCAATTACAAATCAATTTCAATTATTTTTTTTTGCAATTAAAATTTATTATAATTACAATTCAGTGTAATTATTTAATTACCATTAGAAATTATTGCAATTACAAATGGTTACAATTAGAAACGATTGAAATTATTGTTGGTTACAGTTACAAATAATTGCAATTACATTTGGTTTGTAATTACAAATTGTTGAAAATAAAATTGGTTGTAACTACAATTTACTACAATTACAATAGATTGTAGTTATTTGGTTCCAATTATAATAATTTATTGCAATTTTACAATTGGTTCCAATTATAAATTATTGCAATTTTACAATTGGTTGCAATTACAAACGATTGCGATTACAATTGGTTACAATTACAAACGATTACAATTTTTTTTTGCAAATACAAACGTTCAGTTATTTTTGTTTGCAATTTCATCAATGATATTTTAAATTATTGATACAGTTTTTGGTAGTTATTTGTAGTTTTTTCTAGTTATTAATAGTTACATTCAATAGTAATATTTGTAATGTTACTTTTTACATTTAATGGTAATTATACAATAATAAATACAATTTTTTATTTCGAGCTTAAATAAAGAGAGTCACAAACTTTAATTGGATTCTCTTCGTCGTTTCACTGTAAAATGAAAGGTGTTAAATTTAGTACCAATTTTGGTACCAAATCGTAATTTGGTTCTATTTTAATACCAAAATCAGCTCCAATTTAGAACCTTTTTTTAAAGTGAAATTTTTCTTGATTGGTTCGTTTCTAGTCAAGGAATTTAACAAAGATCGCAACAAAACCATATTTTCAAAACAACGATTGAAAAATACTTTCTTCATATACACTCATCGTGCGTTATTCAATAACAATTTTTTTGTCTTCCTCAACAAAAATTCTACACCACAGGTTTTTTTCTTTTTTTTTGATTGCATAAATGCGAAAATTGCGGAGATAATTCCATCATCAATTAGTATCATTTTTTGATTGAAACATCTCTATACATATACATATAGTCTTGATTTTTTTTTTTATTCAGAATCTCGATGTTAACCAATCGTCTGGACGAGGTAATTATACATTTATGAACTAACGGACAATAATTGTACAGAGTGAATCACTTCCACTAAATATATACATATTCTCATCTGCTATTATTATTTTTTTCTCTCTTTCTCTCTCTTTCAGACATCGCGAAACTTTTACAATATGTATGGATAATAATTTGCGGGTGTAGAGAAGTAAAACAACTGAGAAGCAGATCATTCTCTATAATGAAGTATTAGAGGAAACGAAGAACATTGTTACAAGGGAAAAAAATTGCAAACTATTTTTATTCTTTCGTATTTACTCATATTTTTCGGCAATAGTTTCTATACAGTATAACAATCGTTACTATACAGTATAGCAATAGTTTCTATACAGTATAGCAATCGTTACTATACAGTAAAGCAATGTAGTTTCTATACAGTATAGCAATAGTTACAATACAGTAAAGCAATGTAGTTTCTATACAGTATAGCAATCGTTACTATACGGTATAGCAATAGTTACAATACAGTATAGTAACTATTGTCATACTGTATTATAACTATTGCTATACTGTATATTAACTATTGTCTAAACATTGCCATACTGTATGTTAAATTTTCTCATACTGTATTGTAAATATTGCCATACTTTAATCACTGAGTGCAGAAACTATTTTAATATAGTAACCATTGTAATACAATAAATTTTGTAGTTTAGTAATTATTTTAATACACACAAACCATTCTATAATATACTTAAGAAGAAAATATACAATTGCTTCTCTAATGGAAATTTTAGACTCAAAAACATGTTTACCAGTTTATATTCTATAGTCTTTTCTTTACACGAGTTTTTTTTTCTCTTCTGTTCTTTTTTATAATAGAACATGGAATATTCTATTAATTATCGTCTCATTCATAAAACATCTGCATGACAATGACGTGAATTAAAATACAAAACTATTCAAACTGACAAGAGTCCATATAACGAAAATCATTGACTATTAAAATCCTTTCATATTTTATTCACATTTTTTCTTTAACAAACTTTCAAAATCAAAAAATGAACTTAATAGATTGTCTTCTTTTTTTTAAAATGCAAATTTAAAACTAATACCTTCTTCGTTTTTTTCCTATAATGTAAAATAAATTAAATAAAAGTAAACAATTTTGTAATTTTAATGAAAAAAAAATATTTTAATTTTTTTAAAAATATCTTTTTTCTTAAAGAATAAATTTTTCCTTTAGAGAATAAATTTTTTTTTCTTTTAAAGAATAAATGTAATTCTTTTTTTTTCTCGTATTTCAGTTTAAAGTAGAACAGGAAATTATCCTTTTAACGTAATCAGCTTGCTTTCTTGAAAGGTAGTCAGTCATTAGTAAAGTATACTTAGCGTGGAGTCACTGTCGCGTGGTTTCAAGGTCAAGGCAAGGTTGACACGCGCCTTGCCACGCTACGATTCGCGATTTGTCAGTGGGGGGTCGCATTTGATTCGTTTGTCATGTCACGTCTGATGCACAATCATTCATATATATTCTTGAAAAATTTCAAAGAGAGAATTGAAAATAAAAAAAAAAAATTATTATCAGAATTTGAAAATTTTTCCATTTTTATACTTTTGATATTCTTGATATTAATAATAATATTTTAATAAATATTATGATTATTAATTATTAATTGCATAATTTATATAATTTAATAATTATGTTATTAATATTTCAAAATTATTATTTTATCAATAATCTTAATAATGAAAATTATTATTCCATCAATAATTTTAATTCTTTTATTTCAAATTTTATATTTTTTAACTTTTAATGATTAGTTAACCGTAATTCGCTGTACTTTTGTACACTAGAACTCCGATTTTGTGGAATTTTACGAAGTTCACTAAATCCTAATTGATTGGAACATTTAATGATTAATTAATCGAAATTCGATGTATTTTTGAACACTAGAATCCCGATTTAGTGGAATTTTGGGAAATCTACTAAATCTCAGTTGTTATTATTATTATTATTATTATTTTATTTTTCTATTTTAATTAATATTATTTATTAATTCTTTATTATAATATTATGCATCAATTTTCCAATATATTTGAAAAAATTTTCCAAGAATATTTATTTCATAAAGAAATATTACTTTTTTCTTAAATCATATTTCTTTCTTCTTTTTTGCAAATAACTTGCAATATTGTCAACAGATTCATTCATAGGAGGTTAAAAAAATGCTTTTTATAATCATGACATTCAGGTCAATTTTTAATGGAAACTGATAATTTAGATCAAATCATTTGCAAATGTAAACGAGTAATTGAAATTAACTGTTGCAGACCATGAAAGTGTTTCTTTTTCTAGTTATGTTTTTTTTTAAATACTTTTTTTATATTTTGCTTCTATGAATTAATAATTTTTTAAGAAAGCACGAGGTCAAGTTAGATAAATAATTATTGTCATTGCTAAATCATTCTTCCTTCATTCAGTTTCAACATTAAATGATAATAAAAAATAAACATAAACATAATACCCAATATTTTCATAACTTTATTTTAAAAATTTTACTAAAAAATTATTTGTATAAACTTATTAAGATTTCTATTAAAAATTCTAATAATTAATCAATATTAATTATTAGAATTTTCTTATTACTTTTAATTATTCTAATGATTAATAATAATTCTAATAAAAATTAATTACTATTATTGAATTTTAATTAATTAATCATCATTAAACGTTCCAAACAACAGAGATCTAGTAAATTTCTCCCAAAATTCCACTAAATCGAGGTTATAGTGTACCAAAATGCATCAAATTTCCATTAATTAATCATTAAATGTTTCAAACAATTGAGATTTTGTGAACTTTTTAAAATTCCACGAAAAATCTTTAAATCGGAGTCCTAGTGTACAAAAATACATCAAATTTCGATTAATTAATCATTAAACGTTCGAAACAACTGAATTTTATTAGATTTCTAAAAATTCCACTGAATTGGTCTTCCAGTGTACAAAAGTACAACGAAATTGACAATACAAATTGTCATGTGACATATCCAAGGTCAACACATAACGCACAAGAGCAAAATGATAAATATCTTTGGAATACGGTTCATTATTTGTAAATTTATCGATATAGAGAGCATTTATTAAGCCGTCAAGTGAGTGATTGTAATTGGACGTTCACCTCGCATTCTTTATAATTGCGACAAC